CCACAGTGCAAACCACTCCAACCTCCACAGTGCAAACCACTCCCTCCTCCACAGCCGCCTCCAGCAACACCCCCCCCGCCGACCTCCTCCACTCCTACCACCTCTACCACCACATCCATCAACCCTTCAACCTCCACCATCGTCCCGTTCCCTCCACCTCCTCCCTYATCYGRCGCATCCAGCACAYCGCCTCATTCCTCSCCCATCCATGTMACCCCTCTCCCCTCCCCGCACTCCCAAACCCTCTCCCAACCCATCATGACCACCTCCACCATCCCCACCATCCGTCCCACCTATTCCCAAGCCACCTYGGGKGTYTACCCCGCAATGCCACAACTCCCCCCCAACCACCTCCTTGAGGACAACAACCAAATCGACCACACCTGCTACGACACCACCCCCGATAACCTCAGCTTCAACACCCTCTTGCAGATCGTTCACCGCGACGGGGAAATCCCCCATTCCTTCCGATCCGGCAAAATCATGTCCTTCTCCAGCCTTCCCCACGAGGAAGTTTTCCTCTTCCTAACCCAACTCCAAAACTCTTTTCACCTCCACCACATGCCCATTGCCCACTGGCTCCCCATTGCCACCTCCCGCCTCCTCGGCAATGCCGCCAAATGGTGGATGGCTGAAGTCAGCAATGGCCGAGCCTCTGGAGGACCACGTCACTCCTTCCTCCAATGGGCCAAACTTCTCGCTGCCACCTTCCGCCCCCAGAAAACCATTGGCGACTACCTCGAACAATTCTGCCACCTCCGCCAAACCGGTCCCACAGACCGCTTCGTCCAATACATCCGCTCCCTCCGCCATCACCTCCCCACCACCGTCATTCCCGACTTTKCGTTCATCTCCCGCATCAAGCGAGTATGCCACAAAGATCTTGCCACCGCCCTCGCCCACRAACCCRACATGCCCCTTGCTGACCTCCTCTCTCGCATGCTTCACCAYGATCGACTCCTCCACCCCCATCACCAGTCCGCGCCCGCTCCCTCCTGCCCCCTCTTTTTCCATAACAACACCACTCAACCCACCTCCGATGACGACTTCGACACTGCCTCTCTCGACCCCTCCCAATTCACCATCGAGGACCTCCAGACCGCCCACCTTATACGGATGGAACGCCAGGATCGTGCCTCTCGACCGCCTTCTTCCTCTCCACCCCGCCGCCTCCAGAAACTCACACCAGCAGAATGCATATACCTCCAGGAACACAACGGGTGTTTTCGTTGCTGCCAGTTAGGTCATCAACAGACCAACTGCCCCAACGCTAGCCACTTTACTCGACAGGCCCCTCGCTCCACGGGACCCGGCTCTTCTACTCCCACTCCTCCCTCCACCTGAACACTGTCCACCCAGTCTTCCATGTCGAGTACCTAAAAGAATACCATGAATCCCCGCTCCAGTTCGCCGACCGCCCATATCCTAGACCTCCACCAATCATGCTATCCACAGGCCCTGAATTCGTTGTCGAAACCATCATTGGCCGACGAACCACTCAGGTATCTGATCATCCGGAACCAATCACTGAATACAAAGTCAAATGGACCGGATACCCCGGCGAAGAATCTACATGGGAACCTCTCTCTAATCTTAAGAACGCCATGAAACTTGTCCGCGCCTATGATCGTGCTAATCCTACGTCCTAGATACCTATATCACTATGGCATAAACC